CATATATATATTATATATTATATAAGATATATAATATATGTATATATATGTGGACATCTTAAACAGATCTTGCTTTTGAATGACCAACATTTACTGCCTTCATGACAACAGCTTCTTACTCAATGCATCTCTGCACATACGCAGGGCTCTTTTTTTTGACATCTGATCTTCCTTTTCCTCCTTAAATAAAGAAAAAATCCTTTATTCCATGAGAGAGTTAAGCACTTCTTTTCCCTTTGCAGTCCCATTTGAATGTCGCTTTCATGCGTCCAGACGCTGAATCTCAGGGCGATGATCTACTTCTCTGGATTCTGTCCGAGCACGTATGTAATCACTGGTCTGCCGACTACTTTGTTGTCTGCTGTTCATTCGCCACTTTTTAATAGCTAAATATGTGTTCACAGCATACACTGCCATTGCCAAGAAACCAAATATCTACAAGAAGTAGAAAAAATTGTCAAAGACAATTTTTGAAAACATGAACAATAGTAGTTTCACAACAAATTCCTCAGAAACTTAGTTTTCTACTTTATTTGCACTGACAAATCATCATAGCCTGTAAAATTGATGTTTTTCTTCTTCAATGAACGAGAGAATCTGCAAAAGCAACTAAGATCAATGATCCCAGAAAACAAAGTTCTCTGTCTACAAACATGACAAAAATTAAATCCTGCAATGCAACTTCAGTGGAAGAACCTCTTGTAAAGAAGAATACAGCTCTTCATCCAACAATTCATTCCTCAGGGTGCACAAAAGCGAATGAATGACAAGAGAACAGATGACCAGTCCAGACCATCAGCCTGGAGAAGGTGCTCATCTGCAGTTCTTCCCATATGCTTCTGCAGAACTGGTGTGTGATTTCCAATGTCCAGGTGGAGGAGGGGGGGGGGTTGCCAACTCAAGCACAAAATTAATTTGCTTGACCTTACTGTTCTAGATTTAAAATCTTGAAGTAAAGTACTACTATACTCACTCCAAAAAACAAAAACGATCTGTAATGAGCAAGAAGAATTCAGCAAATTATGTGTAAGCAGCTCCAATCTCTTGTGAATTTTTGGCTCTATCTTTTCCATAGGCTTTCAATATGGAGCAGTATCATCTAAGCTAGCTATAGCGAAAGACGCAAGGCAAGTTCAACTGCTGAAGTGTTCTCTGCAAGTCATTTTCCTTTTTGTTCTTGCCTGAAGTCTTAAGACAAACAAATCAATACTTTCTAAATCAGAATTAGCATATAGCCAACTGTAAAATTAGAAGTAAATTGCGGTGGCAAAGGCAACAGGAATATTCAATGAACATGAGGGAAAAGTTACTCTTACTTTTAATAGAAGAGTCATATATAAAGAAGTTCAAATTCTTACCACAGCAGCGATTTCTGCTCCAGTTTTATGGTTTAAAGCAGCAAGTACTACAGAGGCAATGAAAAAGAAGAAAGTGCTGAGTCCAGTGTTGACCAGATCCTAAAAAAATAAATTCATTAGCATTACTAAACAATGATTCTTTGCTTGCTTTAGTTAGAAGTGATGAAACAGAAGAAGGTTAGAACAAGAACTATAGCAATACTTTCCCACTTTCTATGCAGTTTATCACTTATACAAAAGAAGGCAAAGATTATTACACAGGAAACGTACCATGTGTGCACATTAGCCTGAACTAAAGTCAAACAGCGTGTGCATACAAAGCACCAGTGCAGATTCTGGATGCATTACCTCAATTTTTACCGGGTTTATTAGAAAAGTACTGTCAGCATAAACAATGAGTAAAGCTGTTCTACGTCCGCTGACGCTGAAGTAACCTGAGTATCCAGCTTTAGTACCAGGAACCCCTTGTTCTCTTTCACATCACAGCAGTGCTCCATGCACTGCCCAGATAACAGTCATGAATTTTACTACAAATTCTTTGAGGCCTTTATTGGAGAAAACTGCATGTCCTATGCTATTTCTGTAACAGCTGCCCATATTGTGAGAATACACAGATTTTTATGTATTTACTGCATAAAATTGACATTTCAAGCAGACATTTTAGAACATACATACAGCAACATCCCAGGGGCACCGACGTTCAGGGAAAATTTGTGCTTTGCTCCAAGCACAGAAAAATGACAGGCAACACGCAATTCATTTATACCTCTGCTACATACGTCACTTAGTGTTCGGATTATTATGCTGCCATGCCTTACAAAATTCAGTTATACATCTGCTATATATGTCACTTAGTGTTCAGATGATTATGCTGCCATGCCTTACAAAAAGCAGGGTCATTAACATATCATTGGGACATAAGTAAGAATTCTGAATGACAGCTATTAGCACAAGAATATTTACATCAATACAGGACTATCTGATCAGACTCAAGGAAAAAAAAGATTCAAGAGTTGGGACTTTAAAATAATAGAAGAAATAAAGTGCTAGATCCATTAGGGACTAGCTGTTCAGTATGTTGCTCAGGGCATCTTTTACAATTTTTTAAAACATTTGATATGTATGTACACTGCACTATATGCACACTACAGAGATGTAGGAAATAACAGACTATCATGATAACTGACTGAATAGGTGAGGTCGGAGCAAGGAGGAGTGTGGAGGAATCGGGGAATGGCAGTTCAGCACAAATATCCTGAAGGAACATGAAATCGGCGAGCGGTGAATACTATCACAGCCAAGAGGGATGGAAAGAAAACCTGTATCCAAGTTTGCTGTGCAACTTACAGTTCTGAGTTAAAGAAAAAAAAAACCAAAACATAACAAAACCACACTGAACATGCCAACTCCCACCATTAAAAAAATCCCATCTCCACTCTTTCATTAGAATTCAAGGACAAATTTGTTCTACTTGACTCTCTTCTTTCCTGGTCCTGCTCTTCCACTTACTACAAGTATAATTTTTTTATTATTATTATTTTTTCCCCAAAGTGCATCTTTTAAAGTGCTGTAAGAAGTCAGGCTCAGAAAACTGAAGATATAAATCTAAACTTATTCCCTGGGTATGAATCCCATGACTCTCCTACGAAGAACGGCTGAGAGAGTTGCGGTTCTTCAGCCTGGAGAAGAGAAGGCTTCGGGGAGATCTTATTGCAGCCTTTCAGTACTTGAAGGGGGCTTAGAAGAAAGATGGCGGCAAACTTTTTAGCAGGGCCTGTTGCGACAGGACAAGGGGGAATAGTTTTAAACTAAAAGAGGGTAGATTTAGACTAGATATAAGGAATAAATTTTTCACAATGAGGGTGGTGAAACACTGGCACAGGTTGCCCAGAGAGGTGGTAGATGCCCCATCCCTGGAAACATTCAAGGTCAGGTTGGACGGGGCTCTGAGCAACCTGATCTAGTTGGAGATGTCCCTGCTCACTGCAGGGGGGTTGGACTAAATGACCTTTAAAGGTCCCTTCCAACCCAAACCATTCTATGATTCTATGTTCCAGCTACGCAGCACAAAGGCTTTGAAAAGACCATTGTCATCCAGCCACCCCCAAAACATGTGTTTTTCTAGCCATGATTTCAGAATGCTTTAGAAAGTAATTGTAAAAACTGAAAGTTTCTGGCACGATTTTCCCCATTCACAGGGAAAACTATTTTGAGGGTACTGACTCAGCAACAGCTGGTTATCAAAATTAAGCATACCTGGGGACAAACTGTATGATCACTGTAGCCTGATCCTCATCTAAAAGGGGGACTTTCCCAAGAAATCTGAGAGGCTTCCATTGCTCATCGCTATTTCCACCCACATGTTCAGATTTCATGAGCCCAGTAAGAACCAAACTGTCTTACCAAATAGTAAGGAAACAAAAGCAAATTGTGGGTCTCAGAAACTCCTACCATCTTGTCACCTGCCAGTGTGTATAATTAGAGAGATACTTTGTATCTCTGTTCAAGCTGAGATAGATGTTATCTGGTACTTACGGCATCAAACAACATTGGAATTTTATTAAATAGTTATTGCAATTTTAATTATATAATTTCTTGCCTTGCAGAGATAAATTTAAGAAATAGAGATATTAGAAAATAAATGGCATTTCACAATTTCTCCAAGCACCCTCCTCTCCACCTCTGAGTTTAGCAGCTCTAACTGTGCTTCCAGGGTTGCCAACAAAAGCTGTGGTTCTCATCTACACAAACCCTTTTTCACTGGAGAGAAAGTCTCACTATATATGACAACAGATACCAGACTCAACAGTATTCAACATTTTGATCAAGTCTCTAGAGTAAACATATGTACGTCACCAAGAATGTTGAAACTAAATACTGAGGAGAGGGCTGCTATGCTCTTGAATAACTTTAAAAAAATTTAAAAAAAAAAAAAAAAGTAGTTCAACCCAAGGTCAAGTTGTGTATTTTACTACCAGAGTACATTTGCCACCTACAGAAATGACCTACAGAATGGAGACAAAATCCTAGAATAACTCGGAAGAACTTAGTAATTACAGTAGGTAAGCATCTCAACATGTGATGCCATGACAAAAAAAAGGGAGAAAAAGCACTTATTCTTTCCTTTGGACATATGGACACAATAGGTGTAAGGTGGCAATCTTACCTTTGCAAGGGACACTGGAATGCTGCATCCTGTTCCAGTATCCACATTTTTAAAAAAGTATGTTGAAAAATTGGCCAGGGTACAGGGAAGAGCCACAGAAGTTATTTGAAAGGAGAAGAAAATTTCTCACAGTATTAATCAAAGAACCTAAACAGCTCTGAATATTAAAAAGATTGAATTGTGTACATAAAGACTCCAGCATTCAAATAATCAAAAAATACCAGCTGTTTTAAAAGTTAAGCATAGAAAAGCACAACAAAATTAATAGTATAACAAAATTAACAGCTGCGAAGCTAAGACAAAAGTCATTTCAAAATGAAGTACATTTTAATTGTAAGGGAGCTAACCATCAAAACAACCAAAGATGTGCTTAATATTGCACTTTTTCACTTCTTATAATCCAGATTATGTTTTTTCAGACACACATTTTGTACTTCTTCACTACCATACTCAAAGACTAAGTGGATGACACATAGTGCTCTATGATTTATGGGGTCAGATGTGCTTATTAATTAATCCTGCTGACCTCTGACTTTTTGAATCTGTCAGCTTGATCATCTTGCCAAAGGAGAATAGTATAAGCAAGACAGATAGACCTATCCACAACGTGACAGACATTATCATCTATCTCCATGCTACAAATTGTCTTGAAGGCTTCTTGTAAGAAGTTTGAGATACTGCAGAATATGAAATACTGCTGAAATTAGACCGCTGGTGCCTTTGTCATGATTGTTCCAGGAAACCAAAGACACAAGTGCATTAGAAACTTTGTCATCATCACTGGCATTTTAATTTTTTGTACGCTTTACAATTAATATCTAATTTCTCCTTGCAAAGAATCCAACAATTCAAATCTAAAGACTTGATTCCATCTTCAGGCTCCAATTTATTCCTTTCTGCAATTCTATTTTCCCTGTTTAGGTCAAAACCTTTTAATGCAATTAATAATTGAGTCACATTCATACAATAAGGCTGGTTTCTTAAAAAGCTAAAACTAACCCAATCTTTCATATCCACAGATCAGATTGTTTGGAGCTTAAGGAGCAATGACACTTAACAAAAACATTGTCATACAATGGTAACATCACAGATGCAAATACTGGTGGAGGTTTTTAATCCAAAATTTGGTACTTACTACTTGAGCAGAAAGATAAGAAAAGAAAAAATACAACACTTTTGGAAGAAGTCAGAGCAGAAACAAAAGAGAATGAACTACAGCAAGAATTCAAGAAGTAAAGGACACTCCCTAAAATCATGTAGCTTTTTTCCACGTAAGAGAAAATGAATAATCGTGACAATAAAAAGAATAAACTAATTGAAAAAAGATGAGCCGTTTCAAATCTGGCCATGATGTAGCTGAAGTTCTTGCTATTATATTTATAGACAAAGTAAAAACCACATCACACAGATAGAAGAATTTCTGCTGAAATTACAGCAACCTCATGAGACAGTATGCTGTGCCATAAAATACTGTACAAAGCTGCCATCCATAACAGAGAATAAAATCTATGAGCTGAATCAAATCCACTCTAGACTGCTGCTGCTCCCTTTCTCCTTTCCAAAATGATTTAAAAATGAAAGACTGACTTCTAGTCACTTGCTAGTTATTCGCAAGTCATCCTGTTCAGTCACCAATGGTCCTATTAGTCCAAAGGAGAGTACCCAAGGACATATATTTGGTACTGCCATCACCAGCTATCTGTCCCACTCAGAAGGAGCATAAGGCAGAGGAGGCATCTTAATTTGTGGATGAAGATGGGTTTATGCCAAGATAGCATTTTATACTAAAATGGATAGGGTGAGGCTTTTATTCCGCCAATTCTGCCATAAAGGTGGGAAACTCTAGAAAAAAAAGTGGACAGCATCCTTAAGTATTTTGTTTTTAAGGGTCTGGGCAGGTATGGTTCCTGGATTAATGAGGCTGGAGAAGCTG